CTTACCCTAGGGCTGCAACTGACCATTCACTTTGAGGTGCGCTTTCTGTCCAGCACTTAGCTCTCCAGCTCAGCACTGTAGCATAGGCAAGTGGTGATGGGAGGCAGAATGTTTACAGTGCTGGTGATGCCAAGCATGGCTTTTTTTGTTGGGGAGGCAGGCTGCTGTGCTTGAAGCCTGGTATTCTCTTTCTTGTTCTGTCAAATTCTTTGCTTAGCTCTGCTTAGCTGTGGCCTGGGGGTTTCTCCTGCTGGCCAGGTCTCCTCCCATGCTAGTGGTGCGGGGAGAAGCCCCTCTTGCAGCCAGTGGGAGAGACAGAGAACAAAAAACAGAGGAAAGTCGTCGTGGCTGCCAGGAGCTTGTGGCTGCCATGTTTTCCTGCCTCGTACACTGCTGTTCTCTGCTCACTTAGTCCAGAGGGTACCTGGTCTTGGAGGGCAATAGCAGAACTGACAACTTGTTGGGAAGCCAGAGGCTTTGTGTGCTTTGGTTGGAGTAGAGTAGACAAGGGGAGGGTGGTTGTGTTTGAGCCCATATTCCCCCAAGATCCCAGCACCCAGCATGCTGCTGGTGTGTCAGACATGGCACAGGGGAGTGCTGGCCTGCTACAGCCCATGGAGGCTAGGTATCCCTCAGCTCAGAGCTGGGGCTGGAAGCAGCCTCCTCCCCCAACACGTCTGGAGTTGGACTGTTTGACCACCTACTCCAGTGCTGGCTGAGCTTCTTTCATCCCAGGGGTGGTGGGAGGGGTAGTTTTATGAGGCAGAGAGCATGCCCAGTTCTGGGTGGCAATCCTTTAGGGCAGAAGACTGTTTCTCTCACCTCAATTCCTCTGCAGCTGCTGTCTGCTTTCTCTGTAGGACACGGTTCAGAAACGCCAAGGGCAAGTCTGTGAAGAAAAGCCGCGACTGGATCCTTGAGAAGAAGGAGCGTAGACGACGACAGGGCAAGTAAGTTCAGCTGGGTCCTGCCTCAGCTGAGGCTGACTGCTCTTCTGGCCTGCTGTCAGCTGTTCACTCCTGCCATGAACCCACTTCCCTTCCCCTCCCAGAATGACCTGTGGATTGTACTTAGTTGCTCTCTTCTCCATAGGGAAGTGCGAGCAGACACGAAATACACGGGTCGAAAGCGCCGCCCTCGCTTCTGAATTGCTCTGGACACTGTTGGCGTGGAAGATGGTGTGTTGGTCCCTCCAGTGAGCCTCCTGTGGGTGGCACAGATGGGCATCCCAGGCCTGGGACTTGCTGGGACAGGTCATTGTGGCTCTTGCAGGTGTAAACTGGCTCAGGTGCTGCCCAACAGCCAACTGCAAAGCTTCCAGCCCTGTTTTTCTGGTGAAGGTAGAATGACAGACAGTGCTCTGGCCACTTGGTGTCTGCAATGTCATTGCTTATCTTCCTGAGAGTGCAGCAAGCTATCTGGAGCTCCAGGTGAGCCAGAACATTATATCCAGCCTCCTCACTAAACAGTCAATGAGTCAGAAGTGTTGCTGGTCTCCTGTGTCACGCCCTCAGTGCAGGGGAGTACTGAGGTGGGAATATAGCACCCAGTTCCCTGGCAGCTTCCCCTCTGGCCCGGAGTCCGGCAGTATACAGGTGTGCGTCCCATGTGGGCAAGTCTTCCTCCTGGCAGAAGTGTTATTCCTGTGCTGATTGCTTCTATGGGCGCTTTGCATCAGGCCTACCCTCTATGCTTTAGTGCTCCTTTAGTGCTCCCAGGGTGCTGGGGTTCTCCATACCCCAGCCCTTGCTCCCCATCACCTCCTCCCTTCCCCTGAAACAGAGAGGTACCATCCAGAGCTTTACAGTTACAAATGTTTATTCTACATAAAAATTTCACAAAATGGGAAGCTGTTTTGCACCCAAAGCTTTGGGAGAAGAAACAGAGGCTAGCAGGGAGGGAAAGGGTGAAGGAGAAAAGAGGCAACACACAGTGTCATCCAGCCCAGTGAGACAGAGCAAGCCAGGGTCAAGATCCACATAGAAAACAAGGACACTTAGCTCACAGTACAGCAACAGTACAACTCCACGGGGGGCTCGGAAAGCCTTCAAGTACATAAATTGCAAGAAAAACAATCCCCAGTTCGAGTGCAAGCTGTGCGTGCCCCACACTGCTCGTGGAATACTGCATTGACACGCTCCCGGTGCTGGGAGGGCAGGTGGCACTTGGAACAGAGGTGGTGTAACCCAAAGGACAAGCAGTCTGAGGTTGGGGGCTGGAAAGAAAAAGTGAAATGTCTCCCCAAAGCACAACCACACTGTTGGTGATTTGGTCTGTACATGCAACGACGGGTAGGTAAAAAGGAACTGAACAGGGCTTCCTGTAGTGCAGGGGTTAATTATTGCACCAAAACACCCTCCCCTCACAGCTCTGACAGTATGAGCCTGGCAGCCTGTTCTTCTGCCTCCCTCGGTTGGAGCCTGGGGCCACCGCTGCCTGCGCTGCCTGCGGGATCCCAGCAAAGTGCCAGTGGCAGAATTGCCAACTGTGGCCGTCTGGCTCTTGCTGCTGGGGGGCTGCTGGCGGTGGCAGTACCAACAAGGAAGGAGGAAGTGCCAGAATTTCCTCAGTGCTGCTCTTCACCCAGTGCTGCTCTTGGCTTTGTGCCTTGATGGGGTTGGGCCACAGGCCTGATGTCCTGTGAGCTTGTGCCACAAAAGCCGCTGCTTGGAAGAAAAAAAGTCACCTTGTGCTAGCAGTGGGCATTGCTGCAGGGTGAGAGCCTGAGAGGAGCTTTTTTGCCTGCCTGCCCAGGAGCAGCCCTGCCAGCAGTGTTATTGCTTCCTGGAGGAGGGGGCACAACGCTCTTGCTAGCTCAGCAGAGTAGAGTGCAGACTGTGGTGGCAGGGAGCTGCACAGGGGCAGGGGCAGCAGGCATGCGAGTGTCACCTCCAGCTCCCTTTCCTGTAGCCAGATGCATCCCCACAGAGCAAGGACCTTGCCCATGCCTGCCTCCTGCCGTAGAGGGGGGCTCCAGAGCCGGCGTGCCCCTGCTTGCAGGGGTCCCAGTGCCCCAAGCCCCTTTGCACACACAGGCTGCAGTGCTGTAGCTCACATCAGTTGTTGTGGGACTCTGAAATAAGGGGGCTTCGGTCTTGGATGTTCCCATGGTCACACCTACTGGGGGTTTGGGCAGGGGACCTGGGCTGGACACACTTCCCAAGGGCAGCTGAATGCAACCAGAGGCTTGTATTGTGGGACCTCTCTTAACAGTGACAGGGAACGAGCCGTCTCTGGGTTGCTGCTGGGCCGGGCTGGACCTGCCGAAGGCAGCACTGTGTCTGGGCTACCGCCTGCTGCCTTTCACCCTGCATCCGTGGGCACCACACACAGGGCCAGTGCCTGTGCTACAGCACCCAGCCAGGGTAGAGGAGTGCAGGGTTGGAGCAGCCCTGCCCTCACCTTGGTTGGAGCAGGGAGGTGACATGCTACCTGCAGCTGGAGTACTCGCTACCATCAAGTGCCCTTTTTCTGCTACCAGCATCTGAGCTTGTGTCCAGCCTCTATCCCAGTGTGTGGCTGTGAGCTTGGCCCCAGGTGCCTACCCTGCTCTGGGCCCCTCCATAGTGCTTTGGCATGTGCATGGGCCAGCTGGAGCCCTGGAGTCTCCCAACGAATGTGAGGGCAGAGCCCTGCCCCCCACCTGAGGAAAACGGATGGTAGTAACACAGGGCCCCTCCGAGCTGCCAGCAG